AATTCTTTCTGCCTTCTGCCTAGTTTTAGCATAGATTCTAGCCATTCTAGATTCAGATTATGTTTCTTTATATTTATATCCATTCAGGAGACACCGTTTACTCAAATATCTTAGCATGCATATGTCTTTTTTAAGACTACACAGTGCACCTACTACCCAGCAGTACAATAATTTCTTTGATGCCAGATAAATATAAAATATACATTCCATTACGTATCCAAATATCTACCAAGTTCACAGAGAGTAATTTTGAATTTCTGCTGCACATGTTAAATTCCCAGTAGTCCTTTAATACAGTGTCAGAGATGGTTCCTATAAGCAGAGTATACCTAAGGTCATATTTTAGCCATTGTCATTTTTACAAAGAGATCACAAAATAACGCTGGAATGGGCTGAAAGGGGATTACTTGTAACCGGTGTTTGTGGTGATGTTTCTGAAATAATAAGATAGACTTCTTCCAAGGCTTAGTTTATTTCTTACAGCAATATAGATTCCTAGTCTTAATTTTAAGTATGATCATGATGATGAAATCGTAGCACATTTATATTTAATTCTTTATTATCTAAGTTTAATTGGTCTAGAGGCATGAGAGCTCAAAAGTCTAAAACCTAGGAGAGATTGTTAATAAACTCAGAATCTATATTCTGTAAATCAATTTTTGGTTTTTATTTAATGAAAATTGCAATGATTTTTATATTTAAAGCAGATACAACCCAAGTTTGGTCATTCTTTACTATTTGTAATTCCATTTTTCTAAATATATATTCAGAGCTTCTTAGAACAAGGTATAGTAATCTTTTAAAACATTATTTTTAATGATTTAGAAAGAAACATGGACTCAAATTTTATTTTTTTATTTGGTTATATTTCTAAAGTTTAAGCTTTAGAATATTAGTCTACGGTTCATCAGCCAAAACTCTAGCAGAGATAATTTGGCCATCTATAAGAGGTATAAACAAGATAATTGAAACAAGATAAAAGATAATTGAAAAGGGAATGTTCAACAATATCAAACGTGGAACTTGGCTTCCAAAATAGGAGGAAATGTTATTCAAAATACCCACTGGTTATGTTGTATATAATAGGAAGGTTTAAGCCATGAAGAGTCTCAAATTTGTAAAAAAGGAATGTCATACATAGACGCGGAAACAATATTGGTATTCTATAGCAATATGCTAATTTACCTAATATACTGAAATGAAGTGTCTTCTGGAAGTTGCTTATTCTGAATCTCACAGATAAATTCCAAGATCAAACTTTAGAGGACTAACTGAGATAAATATTAAGAGTAGTAAGTAAAATTTACCTTCCTTGGGGATATTATCATATTTCAGCCTTCAAACAGGAATGACTTAAAATGTAATTATGTCAATAATTATTTTGATGTTCGCGCTTTGAAATGAGAAAAGCAAAATTGAATATCTGAGTCAACTCAACATTGTTGGGGGAAAACGGGATCACGGACCCAGAATTAAAAACAAAAATGCTATTTATAAGATCTGCTTTGCATGAGAGAAAGGGAGCATCCTCACCAGTCAGAGGCTGGAGATTACCCTACTCCAGTTCTTTAACTCATCAGAATTCCAGACTTGCTTTACACAGGAGTAAAACGGAGAATTGCCTTGTGAGCAGCAGTTGGGGAGGGAATTTCATGACATTCAGAGAGCGAAGATGAGACCTTGGGAAACTCAGGAAGAAGGAGCAGGTAGACTTTGCTTCAAGGTAGTCAACTTCTAAAAGCCTATTTGAAAAAGATAATGACTACATAAAGGATTCAGAATAGCCCAGAACACATTTAAGATCTGTATATTCAGGGGAAGAAAACATTGTAGCCCTTTTAATGAAGCATATTGTTTGTTTAAGGTGGGTAAACTTTATGGATTGCTTTCATAGTTCTGATTTTTAACTTTTTGAATATGTGACATGAAATTTAATTGACTGTAGGGGACAGATTTCCTCATGACCACCATGTACCTTTTCAAATGTTATCTTTCAGAATCACACCAGAGAATGTTGTTGTTGTTGTTAGGTGCCATCGAGTCGGTTCCAACTCATAGCAACCCTATGTACAACAGAACAAAACACTGCCCAGTCCTGCGCCATTCTCACGATCATTGTTATACTTAAGCCCATTGTTGCAGCCATTGTGTCAGTCCATCTTGATGAGGGTCTTCCTCTTTTTTGCTGACCCTCTACTTTACCAAGCATGATGTCCTTCTCCAGGGACTGATCCCTCCTGACATGTCCAAAGTATGTGAAATGTAGTCTCGCCATCCTTGCTTCCAAGGAACATTCTGGTTGTACTTTTTCCAAGACAGATTTGTGCGTTCTTTTGGCAGTCCATGGTATATTCACTATTCTTCTCCAACACCACAATTCAAAGGTGTTAATTCTTCTTCAGTCTTCTTTATTCATCATCCAGCTTTCCCATGCATAGGAGGCGATTGAAAACACCATGGCTTGGGTCAGATGCACCTTAGTCTTCAAGGTGACATCTTCACTTTTCAACACTTTAAAAAGGGCTTTTGCAGCAGATTTGCCCAATGCAATGTGTCTTTTGATTTCTTGACTGCTGCTTCCATGGGTGTTGATTGTGGATCCAAGTAAAATGAAATCCTTGACAACTTCAGTTTTTTCTCTGTTTATTATGATGTTGCCTATTGGTCCAGCTGTGAGGATTTTTGTTTTCTTTATGTTGAGGTATAAGCCATACTGAAGGCTGTGGTCTTTGATCTTCATCAGTAAGTGCTTCAAGTCCTCTTCACTTTCAGCAAGCAAGATTGATTGTTAATGAGTCTTACTCCAATCCTGATGCCCCATTCTTCTTCATGCAGTCCAGCTTCTTGGATTATTTGCTCCGCATACAGATTGAATAGGTATGGTGAAAGGATACAACCCTGACACACACCTTTCCTGACTTTAAACCACGTAGTATCACCTTGTTCTATTTGAATGACTGCCTCTTGATCTATGTTTAGGTTCCCCGTCAGCAAAATTAAGTGTTCTGGAATTCCTATTCTTCGCAATGTTACCCATAATTTGTTATGATCCACACAGTCGAATGCCTTTGCATAGTCAATAAAACGCAAGTAAACATCTTTCTGGTATTCTCTGCTCTCAGCCAGCATCCATCTGACATCAGCAATGATATCCCTGGTTCCGCTTCTTCTTCTGAATCTGCCTTGAATTTCTTGCAGTGCCCTGTAGATATACTGCTGCAGCCATTTTTGAATGATCTTCAGCAAAATTTTATTTGCATGTGATATTAATGATATTTTTCAATAATTTCCACATTTGATGGGATCACCTTTCTTGGGAATAAGCATAAATATAGATCGCTTCCAGTCGGTTGACCAGGTAGCTGTCTTCTAAATTTCTTGGCATAGACGAGTGAGTATTTCCAGCACTGCATCCATTTGTTGAAACATCTCAGTTGGTATTCTGTCAATCCCTGGAGACTTGTTTTTCGCCAATGCCTTCAGTGCAGCTTGGACTTCTTCCTTCAGTACTATTGGTCCCGTACATATGATACTTCCTGAAGTGGTTTTATGTCAACCAATTCTTTTTGGTATAGTTACTCTGTGTAATCCTTTCATCTTCTTGTGATGCTTCCTGGGTCGTTTAATATTTTCCCCATAGAATGCTTCAATATTGCAACTCGAGGCTTGAATTTTTTCTTCAGTTCTTTCCGCTTGAGAAATGCAGAACGTGTTCTTCCCTTTTGATTTTCCATCTCCAGGTCTTTGCATGTGTCATTTTAATAATGATACTGTTTGATAATACCCTACTTAATTTAAATTTAAAATAACCTGTGTGATTTTGAAGGTTTTCGGTTTTTCTCTGGAAAATATTCTCTGAATTATTGACTTGATATTATAGTACAAGGCATGCTAGATGTTTCTGATTTGTATTTTTGGAGGGGGGAATTTTATATCATTTTGTCAAGAATATTGAAATGGTTCCTTTCTACTGACTTTAAGATTTTATAAACATAAAGCCATTTTAAAGTGAATGGAGCAGTGTTTAATGTTTACCAAATATGAGAAATATTTTTCTTACCTCATGGAGTTTAGTTTAAACATTATATAGTAAATATCAACGGGAGAATTCTGTTTAAATAAAAGAAAAATATTAAATTTTTTAGAGGACTATTACTCTTGTGGCAACCTGTTAAAGGATGATTTGGAATGCAGAGAAAATAAAATTCATTGCCATGCTTATAGCGACCTTATAGGACAGAGCAGAACTGCCTCAGGGTTTCCAAGGCTGTAAATCTTTATGGAAGCGGACTGCCACATCTTTCTTCCGTGGAGCAACCAGTTGGTAATGCTCCATATATTAAAATGGAGAAAAGCAATTATGTGGTGAAGAACCTGTGGTTGCCTCATGATCTGTGTGTATTCACAGAACCTGTAATGGAGACAGTAGAAAGGACAAAAAATTGAAGATATCCTGTTTTGTTTTTGTTTTTGTTTTTGTCATCATCGTCATTGTTGTTCCCTTTACCTTTTCTCATTCTAGTATTAAAAGATCTCAGTGAGACTTTCATGTTTACTGTCAATAGAAAGTTTTAAAGCCTAATTCAGTTGCTTGAGACACATTAACTGTCATGTTGCCATTAGCATTTCATAGTAGTGACACTGAGGTTCTTTGGACAAGATCCTATTTCCATTTTTCAGTTTACTAAGTCATACTTCTTTACCATAACTAACCAAATGTTTTCTATAACTGCTTATATTTTAGGGGCACATTGCACATGTCAAAGCTTATTTACTTAGAAAAATGTAAACCATTTTAAAAAGAGATTTTGAAGCTAAAGCTAATATATACCCATTTTTTTAAATATTTCTCTAAAAATCTGAGCAAAATTATTAGCTTTTTGTATTATTTCTTAAAAACTACACTAATAAATAAAAACATTCCACTCCTAAAATAGGTATTGTCAATTTTGTTACCCTTGAGCATTGTGGTTATCATTGATTCTGCTTTGTCTCCTCAGATAAATTTACAAAGAAAGATGCGTGTTACTGGTGTGATTACCCAAGGAGCCAAGAGGATTGGAAGCCCAGAATATATAAAATCATACAAAATCGCCTATAGTAATGATGGGAAGACTTGGATAATGTACAAAGTGAAAGGCACCAATGAAGACATGGTAAGGTTGACTTAACCTACTTAATTTAAATGGAAAATCCCACTGTTAATCATCTGTTATCAAATGACCACTGTGTTTTCAGCAGAAGACTTGTGTTGTGGGAAATAAATTTGTGGTGCTTTTTTTTTTTTTTTAATTGGGCAAATGGGATAAAGGAGGTAAGAAATTCTTCTGGGTTGTAGACTTACAAGAGCTGCCGTTCATGATTTTCTGAGATTTTAACTGGTAGTTCTATAAAAACTTTGTCACAAGGTAGCATGGTCCTGTGTATGACAATTTTTGTTTTAACAATAGTCAGCTTTCAATTTTATTTCATTGTTTTGACAGATTAGCACTAATTCTAGTCAACAACTTATCAAAACTAATACCTTAAGCAAAAATAGCACTAAGTTATAGAGAAGATGTACTTGATATCTTTATATGATTTCTTATATAAAAAAAAGTTATTAGTAAGAAGAATAAAATATTTTAGAGGAAGTGGATGTACCATTAATGTCTCCTTTGACTCTTCATACAATATTCCAAATTCTTCAATAATTCTTGCTCAGAAACTTTACTTAAATACATCAGGACTACAGATCATCTTATTTAAAACTGAGCCTTTATACTTCACTCTAATAAATTTTAAGATGTATTTTTAAAGTTATCTTATTAAATAAATTTAAATAAAGTTTTCTGGTTACCAGGTTATACCAGATTATAAAATGTAAAAAATGAGGTTTAAAGAAATTTAAAATGACACATATTAGCACTTTATTTTTAGAAATAAGCAATTTTTCACTAAATATGTAGACGAGTCTGTTATCTAATGACTGGCTGGTAAGACAAGAAATCTTGATGTGTCAGACCATAGCATTTGAAAGACTGAATGTTCAGGAAGATTTGTTCCTACCAAAAAAACTATAAATATTAAGTAGTAAAATGAATAGACAAACCCAGGTTAAGTTAAAGAATTTAAGGTGCCCATGTCTCAAAGAAAAGGAGAGAAGCACTCCACTGTCTCTGAAGGCCTTGCCTTAAAATAGAAAACCCAGTTATAGCACAGTATAGATTATACCATAGGCCATAGTGTTTTATAGCTTTAAGATTTTATCTATGGGTTTTCTGTTCACTGCTGATGGCAAAGTGCTTCCTAAATGCTTCAGACCTCCATATTATTTAATCTAATCCTTGAAGAATTAAGTTGGGTGAGGCATAGGGTTAGTATATGAAATAGGTAAAGAAACTGCTGCAGTTAATACTTTTAAATTCCATATTATCTCCTTACACAGGTTTTCCGTGGAAATGTTGATAACAACACCCCCTATGCTAACTCTTTTACGCCACCCATAAAAGCTCAGTATGTAAGACTCCATCCCCAAGTCTGTCGAAGGCACTGCACTTTAAGAATGGAACTTCTTGGCTGTGAGCTATCAGGTGAGTCGCACTTCTATACCCTATTTAAAGAAAACAAACAAACAAAAAAACACATTTGTTTATAGTCTGCTGCTAAAATGCAAATTTTCAACACTCATAGATATTCATTTCTGCTACAGAATGTCCAGGCCATGGTTCAATGAGAAACACTGTGTGTTGCATGTGAGATAAACTATTTCTGTAACATGCTGCAGAAGAGAATTAAGTAGGAGCAATGTGTTTTTTGAGGTGCTGAGTGGTCAACAAAAGCATAACAAATTCTCACTGGAAACTCTTGTAAAATTTAAATGTGTTTTATTGTGTTTGGTAGTAACTCTGAATTATATTTTGTGGCAAAGTTTCAGTAGAAACAGGAATCTGCCTGGCCTCATAACGTGCAATTAAGTTTAGGCTACATGGCATAGAAAAGTAAGCTTTATTTTTGTCTGTCTACCATAAGAACTTGGCTTTTTTCGGTAAGGTTTTGTGAAACATGTAAATTTATCATTTCTCCCAAGGAAACAATACTTCAGTCGCAAGATTGTTTCTATCAATTCATTCTTGGATCTTCCTTAGCTAGAGACCTGCTTATTGTACAAACAGCGGTTATCCATCTCAAGGATAATATATCAAAGGACTTGGAGTTAAAGAATTCTTGTCCTCCAGGAGCAACAGTACTAGCTATAAGGATGAAGACTTAATGTGTTGTTCTCACAATGGTCCCCTTTCAATATAACTTGATTGTGAACTAAATAGAAAGTCTTGTCTAGGCATTTTACTGTGTTGTATTGTTGGCAGTTGTTCTTATATTTCTGGCATCAAAATTTATAAACTGTCTTTTCCCTAGTGGCCTGAAATTATTTGGTTCAAACAATATGAAAAAGAAAAAAAGCAACACCTCCTTTTTAGCATATCCTCAAAGCATGAAAAATTCTTTGTCAAACTTTCCACAAATACCATTTAGTTAAAAATAGAAGTACCCATCTCTGCAAAGAGACAACTATGCACTTTTTATTAAATTCTAGAGATTGCTTATAGGTTAAAGTGCAAACTTTGTATCTCTCTCCCTTCTTAGATTTATCTTTAACACCAAGAATGATTTTTAAGCATATAAAAATTGCAGTTAAGAAAACAACTTTTTTTTAATTATGCCCGTTACACTTAAAGGAACTACAGTGATTTGATGAAATGAATGAACTTATTTTAAGAATCACATGTTCATATTATTCATTGGTATCTTTTAAGAAGCAACCAACATACGATTTTAGTGCTATTAATTACCCTAACTGAGATGTTTTCTCTATTTTGGTAATTCAAACTGGCTTATTGACCAGCAGTAAATCTCAGCAGAATTATTGCTGTACAGTGTTTGTATTACATGTCACTATATCACCGGAGCCAGTGTCATCCCTAAGCCATTCATCATAAAGCAATCAAGAGGAAGCCACAATATGGTGAGGTCTGCTATAAGCTCTATGGTTTTTAGTTGGTTACCATTACCTTCCCCAATTTTTCAGCCTTTTGATTCATGGGGGTCAGTCATTTATACATGGCATAGTTACACTCCTATGGTGTGAATATATTTTACTGGCAAGTTTGACAAGAGGTTACACTTGACATTTTACAGATTTTCTTTTCTCAGAAAGAAGTAGTACCCTATCTCCCAACCCCACAAATTGAATTTGAACTTCCAAGTAGAGAGTAGTATCTCTTGCTAGATGTTATAAAACCTGTGGTACTTCACTATAGAAATAGTCAATTTCATTGTTAAAACTTCATTTTGTTCGGGTGCTATCCACACTAGTAAAAGTTAATTATTTTTTATGTATGAAATCATATGGATGAGAAGGGAAATCTGTGGCATTAGGTACAATGTCAGAGAGGTTAGTTATAACACTTAGAAATAAACAGTAATATAACATACCAAACTATTTCCCAGAATCCAGTGCAGCTCTGTAAAGCCCAGAGCTACCTTATTGTACTCAATAAACTGTTATAAAATCTCTCAGCCTGCCTAGAAGATCAGTGGTTAATCTTTTCCCAGACACTTAAAAAGAAAATCTCCTAAAATCTCCAAAAGAGATACAATTTAAGATGTTTAGAATGACATAGATCATGCCCATAATTAGAGGAGGCGTATACTCCCATTCATTCTTTCAGCAAATAATTATTCAGTATCTTCTCTAGACTAAATACTGGACAACAGATTGGTTATGAAATGGATTCTATGACTAAGCAAAAAAAGTCAAAGTAAAGGCATTCTTTTTCTAGACAGTACTTCAAATATTATATCATAAAAGGAGAAACGCAACAACTTTCCCTTTCCCTTGTATCTTTTCCTCAAAACAAGCAGTTTTACAAAGATGGAGGAGGGAGGGTATTGAATAACAAGTCAGACATCTGTAATGCAGACAATGCTCATTACCGTATAAACCAAAAATAAAAAAATAAAAACAAAAACACCTGTTGCCATGCCAGGACAGAGTAGAACTTCCCCATAGGGTTTCCAAGGAGCAGCTGATGGATTCAAACTGCCAACCTTTTTTTTAAATTGTGCTTTAAGTGAAAATTTACAGTTCAAGTTAGTTTCTCATACAAAAATTTATACACATACACACATTGTTATGTGACCTTAGTTGCTCTCCCTATACTGTGACAGCACGTTCCTTCTTTCTACCCCAGATTTCCCGTGTCCATTCAACCAGCTTCTGTCCCTTTTTGCCTTCTTATCTTGCCTCTGGACAGAAGCTGCCCGTTTAGTCTAATCTATCTACTTGAGCTAAGAAGCCCTCTCTTCACGAGTATCATTTTATGTCTTATAGTCCAGTCTAGTCTTTGTCTGAAGAGTTTTGTTTCGGGAATGGTTTCAGTACTGGGCTGAGAGTTCGGGGACCTTGCCTTCCAGGGTCCCTCCAGTCTCAGTCAGACCATTAAGTCTGATCTTTTTACTAGAATCTGAGTACTACACCCCACTTTTCTCCTGCTCCGTCAGGGACTCCCTGTTGTGTTCCTGTCAGGACGGTCATTGTGGTAGCTGGGCACCATCTAGTTCTTCTGGTCTCAGGCTTAAATGGAGTCTCTGGTTTACGTGGCCCTTTTTGTCACTTGGGCTAATATTTTCATTGTGTCTTTGGTGTTCTTCATTCTCCTTTGCTCCAGGTGGGTTGGGACCAATTGATGCATGTTAGATGGCCACTTGTTAGCTTTTAAGACCCCAGACGCCACTCACCAAAATGTGATGCAGAACATTTTCTTAATAAACTTTGTTATGCCAATTGACCTAGATGTCACCTGAAACCATAGTCCCCAGACCCCTGCCCCTGCTGCACTGTCCCTCAAAGTGTTTGTATTCAGGAAACTTCTTAGCTTTTGGTTTAGTCCAGTTGCACTGACTTCCCCTGTATTGTGTGTTGTCTTTCCCTTCACCTAAGATAGTTCTTGTCTACTATCTAGTTAGTGAATACCCCTCTCCCTCCCTCACCACCCTTGTAACCATCAAAGAATGTTTTCTTCTGTATTTAAACCTTTTTTTGAGTTCTTATAATAGTTGTCTCATACAATATTTGTCCTTTTGCCACTGACTTATTTCACTCAGCATACTGCCTTCCAGATTCATCCGTGTTATGAGATGTTTCACAGATTCATCGCCGTTCTTTATCATTGCATAGTATTCCATTGTGTGAATATACCATAATTTGTTTACCCATTCATCCATTGATGGGCACCTGGTTGTTTCCATCTTTTTGCTGTTGTGAACAGTGCTGCAATGAACATGGGTGTGCGTATATCTATTCATGTGCCAGCTCTTATTTCTCTAGGATATATTCCAAGGAGTGGGATAGCTGGATCATATGGTACTTCTATTTCTAGCTGTTTAAGGAAGCACCAAATTAATTTCCAAAGTGGTTGTACCATTTTACATTCCTACCAGCAGTGTGTAAGTGTTCTGGTCTCTCCACAACCTCTCCAACATTTATTATTTGGTGTTTTTTGGATTAATGCTAAGTTGGGGTGAGATGATATCTCATGGTAGTTTTGATTTGCGTTCCTCCAGTGGCTAATGCTCGTGAGCATTTCCTCATGTATGTTAGTCACCTGAATGTCTTCTTTGGTGAGGTGCCTGTTCATATCCTTTGCCCATTTTTTTAATTGGATTATTTATCTTTTTGTTGTTGAGGTTTTGCAGTATCTTGTAGATTTTAGAGATTAGACACTGATCAGATTTGTCATCGCCAAAATTTTTTTCCCAGCCTGTAGGTTGTCTTTTTAGTCTTTTGGTGAAGTCTTTTGATGAGCATAAGTGTTTGATTTTCAGGAGCTCCCATTTATCTAGTTTCTCTTCTGGTGTTTGTGCATTGTTAGTAATGTTTTATAATCTGTTTATGCCATGTGTTAAGGCTCCTAGCATTGTCCCTGTTTTTTCTTCCATGATCTTTATCATTTTCGATTTTATATTTAGGTCTTTGATCCATTTTGAGTTAGTTTTTCTGCATCGTGTGAGGTATGGGTTTTGTTTCATTTTTTGCAGATGAATATCCAGTTATGCCAGCACCGTTTGGTAAACAGACAGTCTTTTCCCCAGTTAATGGACTTTGGGCCTTTGTCAGATATCAGCTGCTCATAGGTAGATGAATTTATGTCTGGATTCTCAATTCTGTTCCATTGGTCTATGTATCTGTTGTTGTACCACTACCAGGCTGTTTTGACTACCATGGCGGTATAATAGGTTCTAAAATCAGGAAGTGTGAGGCCTCCCACTTTGTCGAACTGCTGACCTTTTGATTTGCAGCAGTGGCTCTTAACCGCTGCACCACCAGGCCTCCATTACCATGTAACTGCCTGAAAATAATAGTATGCCATTAAGACTGTTAGAACTTCTAGAATCCTTGAAATCTGTTATGATGTTTTGGTCACCCAGAATGTCTATTTAAGTTTTATGGCTGTCTTTATCATAGAGCTTAAAGTATAGATTTCCTACCTCTGAAACCTGAAAACATTGTGCTAAGACATAAAATTGGCTAACCCTCCATGACTTTTTTTTGTAATGTTTGCATAGGAAAGGCATTTCCTGGAAAGTGGAGGTGAAGGCAAACATGTAGGAGCCTGAGGAAGGAAGAAGTGATCTAGTGATCTATCTATTGACCAGGATGAAAAAAAAAATACTTATCATTGAGTCAGTTTCAACTCATGGCCACCTCATGTGTGTCAAAATAGAACTGTGTAGGGTTTTCAATGATATTTTTTTAGAAGTAGATCACCAGGACTTTCTTCCAAGGTGCCTGTGTGTGGACTCTAACCTTCAAAGTTTCTGTTAGCAGCCAAGCACTTAACCAGCATTTAACCATTTTCAACACTTAGGGACTCCTTTTGACCAGGTCATAGAGCAATAACTTATAGTCAAGAATTATTTATCACTGAAGAGTTCTAAACCACCTCTCCTAGAGCCTAGACTTAAAATGGCAGAATTTTAGAAAGTCTACCCAGTCATAGGATGTTCTTGATTACTCTGTGATATGTTGGCACTTAATACTGCTGCGAGTTAGAACAAGCTTCAGGGAAATTATAAAAATAGTAAAACTTACTGAATGCTAGCTATGTGCCAATATTGTTTCTAGATATTTTTACAATTGTGAACTAATTTGATAGAACACTTCTATGAGGTAGTTTCTATTATTATTACCATTTTACAGATGTGAAAACTGAGGCGTAACGTGGTTAAATAAACGGGTTCAAGGCCACACAGCTAGTAAGTGGGGGACTAGTAGAGTACAAGGAGAAGTCATGGGTTAGAGAAGTCTCCTCTTTTATTCTTTGATGATCAAACTTACTTTGTTTATTTCCTGGCCAAAATATAACAGTTTCACATACTGAAGTCTCAACCACTGACCAGTAAGATAATAATGTCATCCTTCCTATCACAGCCTTTGTGAATGGCATTTTGTACCAATTGAATTCAAAATTTGGAAGTAGTATGTGTATATGTATGTGTGTACACGCAGACACACACACAAACACACACAAATACACACACACACACACACACACGACTTTTTAAGGACTAGCAAACCCATATTTTGCACCTTATCAAACCTGAAAAGAAATGTGGTAGATTTAAGAATCTCCCAAAAATATCCAAACATTAGAGATTATTGAGTGTGATTTAAATAAAAGATAGATATTATATAAAGTTTGTCCGATAATGGTTTTAACTAGTATTAGCTTATTTTCTTCTGTTATCTTACCTATTAGTTTAAATTCTACACTTGCACAATACCTGCACTTGACATCCACTGAGGAAGTAGTACTTTCCTGCTTTCCAGAGGAAGCCATGTTGGTGCTATAGGGATCAGTGATCAAGATTAACAGACATTTCTTCAGAAACAAAATGCTGTCCAGTTTAGAGTGTAACAGTGGAGCAGCTTGTGACAATGACATGTACTAAGATAATTTTCATTTCCAAAATTATGGAGACAAATACAAGAAAACCAAATATACTTTGTGAGAAAATGTCTCATTTTAAAAACTACTGTGAAACTGTTAAAAGCCAGGGAACAGTCACGAGGCTACCAGTAATATGAGACAGGAGAGCATTTCAGTATTGTTTTCATTTTGCAAAATCGTCTATCACAGAAAAGTAGTTTGAATTGTCTGTCTTGTGTTCAATTTTTCCAAAATATATTCCGACAAAATAGCCTGAAGTGGCTATCTTGTTTTTCGATTTTGTTCCAGATTTATTTCTGATTATAGTTTTTTTCTATGAATTTAGATGCTTTCTCTTTGGGGGAGTGAATAGCATTATGCTTAATCTTCTCTTGCCGATACAAAATAAACGCAGAAAACTTCCAGGGTGATAAATTATTTTTCTCATGGAGCTCTTCTCATTTTCTTTCAGGCTGTTCTGAGCCTCTGGGGATGAAATCAGGACATATACAAGACTATCAGATTACTGCCTCCAGCATCTTCAGGACTCTCAATATGGACATGTTCACTTGGGAACCAAGGAAAGCTCGGCTGGACAAGCAAGGCAAAGTGAATGCCTGGACTTCCGGACACAATGACCAGTCACAATGGTTACAGGTAATATTTTAAAAAACTGTGTCGCCATCCATCATCCCTCTTCCTCGGGAAATTACCTATTGGTTAGGTAACTATCAGAGTCATTACCTTCATACAGATTTAAATGCATTTTCCCCTTTGGCTTAGCTAAGTTGATAAAACATAGAAATTCCTTATGAATCCGTGTCCAGATGGTAATTTTACTCCGATGTTGATTTTTAGATGCTTCTGTCAGGTTGATGCATCAGATGACACTATGTATGTGTCAATTTGATCGATTATGACACAATTTGCGTTTTAACTCTCCTCTATTGCAATGGCTTGTGTCAATATTGGTTTTGAAAATGTCACAGGAGGACTCCAAGCAGCATTGCAATCAAACCACCGACCTGCAGATTGTTCACAAAGAATCATAATTCATGACTTATTAGCTCTTTACCTGTGGTTGCTATGAGCTGGAATTGACTCGACGGCATTGGGTACCTGTGGTTGCTAAGCAATGTAGCAATTTGATTATTTTCTCATAACACAGCTTGGTTGTAGAAGGAAAGCTTAGATACTGCAGTCTAGTTAGCACTTGCAAATGAAGTGAGGTCACAGTCAGTGCTTTTTAGAACAGTCTTGTTGAAATGTACTTATTTGTGGAGTGCTTTTGAAGTATGCACAAATTTGTTAATGTCTTCTGTGGCAAAGAAAAGTAGTACAGCTTAATTCCATAATGAGGTCACTGTATTTGAAATATATGAGTTCTTCTCTCACTGATTTTTATACCATATACATGAGTTTCAAAACTATGATAATTCATTGCATTTCTCGAAATCATGAAAACAATTAAAATAGCAAATTTTAATGTGTCAGACCAGATTTGTCACATCTGAAACTAGTATCACCAAGTCACTTGAAATTTCCAATAGTCCCTTCTCAGTCCTTTTTCTATTTGGCCTTACTTTTCCTTATTTTAATACATAGAAATTGTTACTTTTTTCATTACTTTCCTATCATATTCTATCTGTATCCTCATTGATCTGGAGTTTTATTGTGCTCTTTCATTTGTTACCCCACATTATGGGTAATTATGTATGTCTTTCCCCTATTAACTGTTCTATGAGCTTCTTGAAAATAGAGAGTATATGTTATTTTTTATATCCTCTCAGCACTCAGCATGATGTCTTTCTCTTGTAGATAGCCGGGTTTACAAAATTCAATCATTCATTTTGCAATAATCATTGAGTGCTATGAAGCACCATATAACATGATAAATAGCAATGCCACATGAGTGAACAGTACACCATTCATGTTTTTATGACATTACCTCCTTCTTAAGCCATTCCTTTTATTGGCTTCCATTACAGCATACTCTTGTTTTCCTCCTACCTCCTGGCTAATCCTTCTCCGTATCTTCTGTGCCATCCTCCCTCTGTTATTGTCCTGTTAACCACTACCTCCCTTTCTTTAACCAGCTCTGCATGGTCATATTAACTGATTTAGCAAGTATTGGTGACTTCAATTACTAAACAATGATCCAGCTACTCTAAAATCATTTCACCACAAATATGCAGTCTCTTACTCCCTTGTTTAAAATTCTTTGATGACTTCCTAGCAACCTCAGAATAAAGTCCATACTCCTTAATATATCCTAAAAGTCTTTCCATGATGTGGTCCCATTTTATCTTGTACCACATTTTTCTAATTTTGCTTTGGTTGCGGAAACCAAACACGATTTCTCACTTGTTCCTTTATAACTGTCCTCTTCCTAGAGGAAAAGCATGGAAAGAATGCCTCTGCCCACAGAATCACTGGCCTTCATTTAGTTAAATCTTTCAACTACAGGTTGGATGTGCCTTCTGCTGGTAGGAGTCCCTGGGTGGTGCAAATGGTTATCTCCCTGGGCTGCTAGTCAAAGTTTGTCAGGTTGAGTTGACACAGAGGTACCTTGGGAGAAAAGCCTATCAAGCTACTTCAAAAAATCAGCTGTTAAAAACCCGTTGGAATACAGTTCTATGCTGATACACATGGACTCACCATGAGTCAGAGTCAGCTCAACAGCAACTAGTTTTCTTCTGGGAAGTGTTTGCTGTCAGCTTCATCCCACCTCAGCCCTGGCTTATGTTCTCTCCTATATGCTTCTATGTCCTCTGTAATTGCTTCACTGGAGCATTATCTCACTGTATTGGAAACTGTGTTTTCATGCTACATTGTTTGCTTCATTAGGTCTGGAAACACGTGTGTCTCATTGACTATTGTATCCCCAGTGCCTTGCTAACTATCTGTTACAATACCTGGTACATGGTAGGCATTCAATAAAAATTTGTTGAATGAATGAATAATGAATTATTAGGTCAGAGTATATTTCAAGTTATTTATTTGGGCCTGTGCAGCATATAATTTTGATACCCAAGTTAAGAGGCAAACTGCTACATGCCCCCAAAGTTTTTAAACAACATTTGAAAGAGAAATTTGAAGCCTAATATCAAAGAGCTGGCCTTTTTGATAGAGGAACTCAATTTTCATAATACATATCCTTCATGAAGTTTTCAAGTTGTTGATTTGAAGATAATCTCTCTTCTACTCATTAGACTTTTCAATGTCAAAGTTAAACCTGTTCTTTATTGCTATGATAGTTTTTAAATTGTAAGTATTCCAATCATATTTCCCATTACCTGCAGCTAATATTTTGGGAGTCAAATACCATGTTCTGCTGCTATTCATAAGGTTTTTACTGGCCAGTTTTTTTAGAAATAGGTCACCAGGTCCTTTTTCCTGGTGTGTATTAGTCTGGAAGCTTCACTGAAGCCTGTCCACCATGGGTGACACTGTTGGTATGTGAAATATCAGGGCATAGCTTCCAGCATCACAACAACACACAAGCCCCACAGTATGACAAACTGACAGACTAGTGGTAGACAGCACCTAAGAAAAACAACAATGCCACGTGGAATAAGACAAAATATTTTACAGCCCCTAAGTAACTCAGACAGACTGGTAGACTATAGAAATATTTACATAAAAGGACCGCCAGTGGCAAATTTATTTAGAAAGATTAAAAAAGTAATATTTTTACATGAATGAGGGTGTAATATCCACTGCAAACCTCCAACCATCACTTCGTTGAAGATGGCTTTTCAACTACCTTCTTAAAGTCACTTTCATACTCAAATTGAATCATTCTATTAATGACAGATTTTCTGTCAATTCAATGACCAGTTCTTCCAGTATATGTCTATTTTTTGTTGTGTCAAAATATATTTAGAAACTCCAAAGGAAAGAAAATTGACATTTTTCTTTTTATTTGCTTTTTATTTTCTGATATCACACAAGAAAATGCTCCGGAATTGTTACTATTTTTAGTGTTTTCATTTCAAGAAAATAAAATCTGTTCAACTATACATTGTTATGTTTGCATTTTCCTTGAAAATAAGTTTGACATCCTTACAAATAGCAATGGGATAGAATACTTCTGTTTTTGAGTTGTCCATACAGAGGTCAATTTTTATTTTTAGGTGAGGCTTCTGAATTTTTTAATTTTAGCTATATTTTTAATTGAAATACATGAATTCTGAGCAATAGCTTTTCAGAACTGAAGAAAAAATTTAAGCCTTGAGTTGCAATGCTGAAAAATTCTACAGAGAAAATATTAAAGGACACAGGAAGCATCAACAGAACATGGAAGGAATAGAGAGTCACTGTACCAAAAAGAATTGGTCAACATTCAGCCATTTCAGGAAGTAGCACATGATCAATAACTGAGGGAACTGAAGAAAGAGGTCCAAGCTACACTGAAGGCATTGGTGAAAAACAAGTCCCCAGGAATTGGCAGAATACCAACTGAGATGTTTCAACAAACAGATGCAGCACTAGAAGCACTCACTCCTCTATGCCAAAAAATTTGGAAGACAGCTACCTGACCAACTGACTGGAAGAGATCCATATTTGTATCCATTCCAAAGAGAGGAGATCAACAGAATATGGAAATTATTAAACAATTTCATTAATATCACACACAAGTAAAATTTTGCTAAAGATCATTCAAAAGCAGTTGCAGCAGTACATCCACAGAGAACTGCGAGAAATTCAAGACAGATTCAGAAGAGGACTTGGAACCAGGGATATCATTGTTGATGTCAGATGGATCATGGTTGAAAGCAGAGAATACTGGAAAGATGTTTACCTGTGTTTTACTGATTATGCAAAGGCATTTGACTGTGTGGATCATAACAAATTATGGATAACATTGTGAAGAATGGGAATTCCAGAACACTTAATTGTGCTCACAAGGAACCTGTACTTAGACCAAGAGGCAGTCATTCGAACAGAACAAGGGGATACTGCTTGGTTTAAAGTGAGGAAAGATGTGCATCATGGTTGTATGATTTCACCATACTTATTCAGTCTGTAAACTGAGCAAATAATCTGAGAGGCTCGCCTGTATGAAGAAGAATGGGTGATTAGGATTGGAGGAAGACTCATTAACAACCTTCGATATGTAGATGACACAACCTTGCTTGATGAAAGTAAAGAGGACTTGCAGCACTTATTGATGAAGATCAAAGACCACAGCCTTCAGTGTGGATTACACCTCAACATAAAGAAAACAAAAATCCTCACAGATGCACCAATAAGCAACATCATGCAAAACGAGGAAAATATTGAAGTTGTCAAGGACTTCATTTTATTTAGATCCACAGTCAATGCCCATGGAAGCAGCAGTTAAGAAATCAAACAGTGTATTTTGCCTTGCGCAGTTCTACTGCAAAGGATATCATTAAAGTGTTAAAAAGCAAAGATGTCACCTTGAAGACTAAGGTCTAAGGTGTAACTGACCTAAGTCATGGTGTTTTCAATTGCCTCATATGCATGCAAAAGCTGAACAATGATTAAGGAAGACCAAAGAAGTCTTGATGCCTTTGAATTATGGTGTTGGTGAATAATATTGACTATACTGTGGACTGCCAGAATAAAGAACAAATCTGTCTTGGAAGAAGTACAACCAGAATGCTCATTAGAAGCAAGGATGGTGAGAT